AAATTCACCAGCAAATGCAGTACTGGAAAGAAATGAAACAGCGATTTCGTCAAAATGGACATTTTAATATGATTTATATTTTTTGAAATTTGAACGGCATTGAAATCTCACTTCTAGACAAAAAATTCATGAAATTGCGAGTCCCTACCTCCTCGACGTATCTGGACTTAGATAGGTCCACATACATCCAGGCCTGAAAACGCCAAACCCCTTGGATGTATATGGACTTTCAACTAAGTCCAGATACATTGAGGGGGTAGGGAGTTTTCAGAATGATGTAAGAGTCCTTCGGGACATTCATTCAAATTCGAACGATAAAGAAGATTAGCATGGCCCCTGTGCAAGGATGACACGCATAAATCAGGAACCGGTCCATATTAAAAAAAAAAAAAAAAAAAAAAAAAAAAAAAGGAAAAAAAAAAAAAAAAAAAAACATCAACCCCACACTCGAGCAAGCTGAGCATCACAATGGGCTTGCGAATGAACAGAGCACAATCGAGAAGAGGGCATGTACGCCATTGAGAACAGCTTTCAACAATAGGATAACTGACTCCGGCAAGTATACACAGGTACCACTGTAAATAGCTCACAAAACCCGATTCCAACAAGATGAACAAATATTACACGCTAATAGTGAATGCACACCACTACAGGGAAGGTTCTCGACTTTTCTTCACTCCAATACCTTCCCCCCCCTTTCCTCTCCCTTCGCTTCCCCTCTCCTCCTAAAAGGGTACTGTTTGCTCTGCGTCAAGCAGGCAGGCACAACAACAAAGCAAGGTTGCTCGCACACCTCCCTCTACACGACCACCATCAGTGCACCCAGTTTTCATAAGATACATAGACTGCATTTAAATGGCGCCACAGAAAGGGATCCTTGAGCGCTTGTCCAGAGCCTCCTGACAGCAATTTAGACTGTTGTTCAAGAGCAGAGTCCTGCCCCTAGTGAGATGACTGATATCCTCTACAATCAGCAGCAATGACATCTACAGACATTTGAAGTTGATATTTTCAAGTTTGAAGTTGGTATGGCAGCACCCCTAGTGAGATGACTGATATCCTTTACAGTCAACAGCCTTGACATCTACAGAAATTTGAAGTTGGTATGGCAGCCTCAAAAGTAGCTAGTTCTTTCCTTTTACCCTACAACTCTAGCACAGTGCACCACAACCTTCTGGCAATGCAGAGAGAGAGAGAGAGAGAGAGAGAGAGAGAGAGAGAGAGAGAGAGAGAGAGAGAGAGGATTGAATATACACACAGGCAATGCACAGACAGCACTGCTGCGATGTGCTTAAGAGGTCCAAACGGGAGGCTCACGCAGCAAAGGATTTGCCGCAGCCGCAGGTAGATGACGCATTTGGATTGCTGAAGGAGAAGCCGCCACCAATAAGCGCATTGCTGTAGTCAAGTTGCATCCCGAAGAGGTAGAGCAAGCTTTTGGGGTCACAAACTGAAAAACAACAACAGAGATCAGGTTATTGGAGCAGGCTGCACTACCAAAACATTCTGGCGGATTACCAAAAAACTGCGACCAAATCGACGGGATTTTAAGGCCCTCTCATATGCACATTTTTGAAGTCGTTCCACTTTTTTTGGGATCGTTGGGCTGTTCAGCTTGACTGACTACATTCAGAGAGAGAGTGGCCATAAATTATTGCATGAAAGACTAAGAAACCAAATAACACAGACTGAACTAAATGCAGTTTGATGCGTGCATATTCCCATATCCTACCTTTCTCGCAGCACAGAACAAGGCAAAAATCGTTCTGTTCACAAGGGAGAGAAGCTGAGCCAGAGTGCACAGACTGGGCAGATCTGTCATTGAACTCCAAAATGTAGAAAATAATTCCCACCCCTGTCATATTGGGGTTGCCATCCTAATGAAGCGGTCCATGGAGAACCCCCAAGATCCAAAGTCAAAAGGGAAACAGCCCAGATCGTACGCTAAGGTCCTAAAGCAATCACTTAGTCGGAAAGGAAGTGATCCCCCCCCCCCCGCCCCCAAAAAAACGAATAAGACTACACTTGTGCTGTCCTACTGTGAAAGTGAACTTGATGTTAACCCAAAATAGACACGAGTGTTTTAACTGCCTTTACAACGCAGTTGGAACCCATGGTTGCTTATGAGTGGGGAACCAAACTCAACTGGTGAAGGAAAATGTCCTTAGAAATAACCCACGATAGCAGGCAGCGTTGAACAAGCCATAGATCATGTCTTCACTTTCTGAATCCGATAAATGGCTTCTTGACAGAATACCTCAGCAAAACGTCAGATGAATCAGCAGACGACCTTGTACCGACAGTTTGTAGCAGTCAAGGTGTCCCGGTGCATTCTGGCACGTGCATTTAAAACACCCCTCTACCTGCCTTTAGAAACTCGAGGGGACAGGTAGGCCGTTGTTTCGAACAGGCATGTGGCCTACTGGTAGGTCTGTGTGGAGCCTGCTGGCCTTGGTCCCAGAGTGGCAAACTCGGAAAAATGCCGAATCAGCACGGTGATTATTTTGCGGGCAAAATGATTTTTTTGTTTTCTTTCTAATATTTTTCGTGGAAAGATCACGACCTAATCTGCGGACCCGCAAATCCTTAGAACTTTTTGCGAATTCCTCCGAGCACGAAAAATCACCAAAGTTGCCGTACTTCTTCTGTTAGCCGACACATGGTAAATTGACAAAAATGAAAATGCAACGAATCGGCGCGGTAATTATTTCACGGACAAATATATATATACAGGGTTACCTGACCGAACATTCGGGGGCCCCCGGGCTGCCCCCCGAACGTTCGGGCGTTCGGGGGCTGAACACCTCCAGGTTCGGCCCCCGCCAAAAAAAATTTCGGGGCCTAAAAATAAGTTGTTTTTTCTGAATGTTTTTTTGTGAGTTCTCTATGATGTAACCTAAACGCCTATAAATTTTGAAGTCATTCTGCTAAGCCAAAAACGTATTAAAAATCGTCAAAGATGGGGGTGTCAAAACGTGCTCGCCCACTCACTATTTTGTTTTTTTTCACTTTTAACTTTTTGTTTTCACTTTATTTCGGGGCCTAAACAATTTTATTATTTTTTGAAGAAATTTTAACGAGTTATTGATTATGTAAGCGACATATCTGTAAATTTTCAGGGCATTTGTCAATGCCAAAAAATAATTAAAAATCGGCAAAGATGGTGGTGTCGAAAAGGTGCTGGCACACTCACTCATTTTGATTCTCTTTTTATTTTTTCTTATTTTTATCATAGTGTTTATTTCTGTATTTGATTTTTAATTCCAATTTGGTAAAGAATTTGGATGTAGTGCCCAGGCAAATGTTGTTTAGTAACTTTAGTTTATGTTTCTCCATAACATATGTTTTTTTCGGAATTTTTTGAAAACGATTTTTTTTTTTTTTTTTTTTTTTTTTTTTTTTTTNATTTTCAGGCCATTTAGCTATTCCCAAAAAAAAATGAAAAATTGCCAAAGATGGCGGTGTCAAAAACATGCTCGCGCACTCACTAAATTTAATTCTCTTTTTATTTTTATTTATTTTTATTATTAGTATTTGTTTTCCGTATTTTATTTTTATTTCAAATCTGGTAAGGAATTCGGATGTAATGCTCAGGCAAATCTTGTTTATTTTATTTTTCTCCATAACATTGGTTTTTTCAGATTTTTTTGATGACTTTTTTTTTTTTTTTTTTTTTTTTTTGTTCCGCGTTCGGCCCAAACGGCCGAACGCCTTCCGAAGCGGTCCCGTACGTTCGGGCGTTCGGGTTCGGGCGTTCGGCCTGTCCCGAACGCCGGCAACCCTGTATATATATATATCATCACAAACAGAACTGCCCGGTAAAACCGTAGGCAGAGATATATATCGTCAAATAGAACTGCCCGGTAAACCGTAGGCAGAGAGGGAGAAGAGGACAACAAACGAGGGGCTGTGACATATATCATCAAATATATATATATATCCATTTTTATTTATTTATTTATTTCCTGGAAAGATCATGACGTAATCTACAGACCCTCAAATGTTTAGAATTTTCTGTGAATTCTTCTGGGCACGAAAAATCGCCGAAGTTCTTTGGAATTCCGTGACTAGGCCCGCCACTTGTCAACGGTCGCCGTCCCCCCGCCGAAAAACCCGGCCGAACTCACAGGGAGGGCACTTTCCAGGATGCGGGTAGAGGGGTGGTTTAAGCAAAAGGATGAAGGGCACAGTCAGGAGTTGAAGATGTTCGTCATGCACTTACTGGCCGAGAAACTTTAGAAGAGTCTTTTGCCTCTTTTCTGTTTTTTGGTTACGAGTCGGACACATTGCAGCTTCGCTCACTCGCGGCGAAGAGGGCACAGCAGTGTGTACGCGGGCGTGCACAAGAACGCATGTGTGCAGAGAGAGAGAGAGAGAGAGAGAGAGAGAGAGAGAGACGACACATTGCAGCTTCGCTCACTCGCGGCGAAGAGGGCACAGCAGTGTGTGCGCGGCCGTGCACAAGAACGCGTGTGCACAGAGAGAGAGAGAGAGAGAGAGAGAGAGAGAGAGAGAGTAACACCATACTTCCTCTCGCCTGGGGGGAAATTGCTCGCATGGAAAGTAACACCATGCTTCCTCTCGCACCTTGTGGCCAAACGGCTGCTGGATATGAGAGTCATTTCCGCCATTCGGTACAGCAGGATACGTAGACTTCAGACAGTCCGCTCTGGTACCAGGCATGTCCATAATTTGTCCTGGGTATATCATAATTTGCACATACTGATAGTCCGATATAATTGCAATTTGCCACCAGCAACAACGGGGCAGGCATGCAAACAGTTTTTCAGCAGGGCATTTCCCAGGTACCAATGGTGCAGATCCAATTTTCCATTTATTATTTATTTATTTATTTATTTATTTATTTATTTACTTATGGGAATTTTTTCGAAATACCCCTCCAACAGCCGACTTACCTTGTCGTGCCACTGGGGCCTCTCAAGTTTCCTGCATGCCCCTATCAGTGAGGCGTGCAACTTTCCAGCATGCCCCTGTGGCTGTTGGTGGCACTCGAGGCCGTTCCCCTGGCCCTGGGAGGGGAGCTACCGGGGCATACTGCAAATTTGGAACCGGTACCGGCAGGGGCATATTGAACATATTTCAGGCCCAAAGGACTCCAGGGGTTTTTCCAAAACTTCAATCGTTTCAGAGAGGAGGCATACCGCAAATTAATGGAAGTTGGGAGGGGCATTTCAAAAATTTCCCTCTATTTGTTTATTTACTTGGCTACCAGAGTGCCCCGGGGTCACTTGCCCGGCCGGGCCAAAAAGAAAAAAAAAAACAAAAAACAAAAAAAACAATATTGATTTTTTTTTTTTTTTTTTTTTTAAATTCTGTGACGAATTTCAATGTGGACCTGGGGCAAACGTGGAGACCGAGGAGAAAACTTTGGGAAAGGACAAGAAGAGGAGAATGAGTGGGAACAGGAACAAGGGAACCAGATGTCCCAGCAGCTACTTTTGAGGCTTAAGAATGACTTAGCATGATGCTGGTGCAGAAGGGCATCGAATCACAGTAGCAAGGAAACAGCAATAAAGTGGGTGTGGATAAATTCGGGAGGAAAAACAGAGGGCATAGAGGGAGTGGGTCGAGCAACCCACCCATTGTGAAGCCTTCATAATCAATAACTGCATCCTCCGCTCTGATCTTTGCCCTATCTTCAAAGTCCATGACATAGGACATCCCAGAACAGCCCCCTTGGCGAACTCCCACTCTCAGGCACAGCTCTTTGTTATTCTGGCCCTCCTTCAACTTCATCAAATGGTTGAGAGCAGTATCAGTCAGAGTGATAGCTGGGGCTGCAGCGGCTCCTGCTGGTGCTGTCCCCGTTGCCACTGTATGCACCAAATATTAAAAACGAAACATAATCACACGGTTATTAAATAATAAAAACGGGCGCACCAGATTGCCTGCATGTTTTCTGCATTTGGAAGGGTGGGGAGTGGGGACATGCCAAACTAGCAGCAAATCACCAGTGATAGCACAAGATATCTAGTCAATATTCATCTGAAAGGTCCTGCATTTACTGAAAAAGACCTTGTTTTCTCGCCTTCGGCATTTCGAACTTTATGCATGCGCCGCACACAAGATCCACATCAAGCCAGCAAGACCCACACGAAATGAATCTATTTACTTGAAATGGTGTACACAGGTTTCTCAAGCTTCGCGGCTATGTCTGCCAACAACAACATCAAGCAGGTCTCTCTCTCTCTCTCTCTCTCTCTCTCTCTCTCTCTCTCTCTCTCGCGCGCGCGCGCGCGCGCTTGTTTCCCCAACCCCCTCCCTACTGCACTCAGTTCTCTCCATCTCTTTCTCAATGTCCTCGTTCACTCTCACTCTCTCACTACCACGCTTCTCTACAGCTATTGCAGCCTGCACCATCTACTATCTCTTTCGCCACACATTGTTCACGCGTCCAGGATCTTGGCGCACAACAACGCAGCAGCACTACCTCGCAAAAGAGCAGGTTTTTAGCTTTTCTGCATGCAGATACCTCCCACTGGCTGGCGCTGCCGGTCCTGTTGGGCCTGGCTGCAGCCGACAAAGATTCGGACTCTCCCTTAGCCCTTCTTGGAGCTGAGCTGCGACTTGACCAGGATATGACATATGGCGGATCTCTGCCTACTCACTACTAGGGACTTCTGCTGTCCCCATGTGCCTTATCTCATCGGATCTCTATTGCGCTGTTCAGTATCTACCGGAAAATTCTATGTGCGGCCCTATGATACAAAAGAACATGGGAGGCAGTACCGGAGCCACACTGCTGAGGTGCAGGAATCCTTTCACTCCCACCAGCCTAATTTTGAGGTCCGGGTAGCATTTCAATCTGTTCAGGATCAAGACAATCAAAAGGTCTTCGTGGCGCCAACCCTTATGCAGTTTATGAGGCATCCTCCTAGGTAACAGATGCACCGAGTTCTCAAATGTAGTGGCTACCTTAACGACATCTATCTATCCGGTCTGGTTTAATGTCCTTACGGAGGGTTTGGTGCAACAACTTATTCATCTGTTTTGTCTGACCATTAGTCTCAGGGTGTCTACCCATGGTCAATTGCAATCCATATACACTTTCATGAGTTGCTGCCAGTGCTGCCTCATTAACCTAACATGTCTATCAACAAGGGATGACCTGACCCTTAACCACTGTGCCAAAAACGGTTGAATTACCACAATCTCCCTTGGCTTCTGCTGGCAAGGGAATAAATTTTGCATTCTTAGACGAGTCTAGTCTACTATAACCATTCCTTGAATATTCTCATTTCTGCTTTCGACTCTAGCGTCCATAAAAGTCTACGGATATCAATTCTCTAGGTCCTGAAGAAATAGGTAGGGTCTCGACAGTCCCAGAGGGGACTGGGTCCTACTCTTGTTCCTTTGACATACTGTACACTCTTGTGTGTAGGTGATACAGTCTGACTTCATTCCTGGCCGTGTCTAGAAGCGTCGCAAGCTAGTCTTTCGCCCATGAAAGCACCCTTCTGAATCATGGGCATCCTCTTGATTCCTTCACTAAAGGGAATGTGAGGCCCATTCTCTCCACTGGTTGTGAGAAACAGCAATTGTCGGCTATCCTGTATTCCGGCCATTCATGTGGTTTCTCGTTTACCTTTGCTATAACTTCTCTATGGATTGGATCTAATTCATAGGCATCTCTGATCTTCTACTGCAATTCCTTCCCCGTATCCAAGCAGGTAGTCATCATCCCAAAGAAATCTGCTCTCAAAGAAATCTGCTCTTTTCGACAACACATAAGCTACGACATTGTACTTCCCTTCTACTGGTTCACGGTCAAAATCAAATTCATCTTTCACCCTAGCCCATCTCTGCAACTTATTCGACATCCGGCAGTGCCATCAACATGACCACTGAACAGCCCGTTCATCGTTCACTGAAGGACCGTTCAGAGGGCCGCTACACCGTGTACGGCCCTTCACAGGATTTTTCAGCGCCAAAATGGGGCCCTTCCGAAGGGTCCCCGGGAACGGGAAAGGTGCAGGAGGGATATGGCACACCGCTCTTGGCCTCCCATTGAAAAAAATATATGTACCAAAAAAAAAAAAATTTGAGGGTCGACCCCTCCTCGTCACAAAAAATGCAAAAAAACAATCAATTATTACAATTAATCAATCAGCAATCAATCAATTGGTCAAGCAAGCACGCAAGCAATCATCAAACAATGAATCAATCAATCAATCAATCGGTCATCATTCAATCAGTCAATCATTCATTCAATCAATTAATCAGTGAATCATTCAAGCAATTAATCAAACTAACAAGCAAACAGCCAATCAATCAATCAATCGCAATATTACACACACACACACACACACACACACACACACACACACACACACACACACACACACACACACACCCCAACACGTGCGGGCATACACACTTCTTTTTGTGTCTGTGAGTGTGTGTGCATGTGTGTTTTTAAAAAAGGCACCCCAAATTCTCTCTCTCATTCCCTTCACAAATCATAACAAACCATCCATAACGAAAAAGTATAGATAGACAGTATAATACAAAATGCAACGTTGGCCACGTTTGTGTGGTTCAGCGCCAAGTGCCCGCACACCCGTCTGCCGCCGAAGCGGCACACTTGCACATTATGTATTTCATATATCCACAAAAGGGTGGAGGGCAAAAGGCAACTTACCTAAGACAACGGACTCCACCACCAAGAACACACCGAACCCATTTGCCAAAAGTCCGACTCCGCATCGGTGCACAAAAGCAAAACTTAGTTAAACAAACCCAACAGCATAGCACAAAAGGCTCCACTAACACAAACGCACGGACCACACACGCCGATGGTCTAAGAAACAAAAAAAGAGCCCTCTGCAACGGCCTACAACACCACCACAAATCTAAACTACACCACAGGACCTGCACGTGAAACCAAGAGTGCCATGAACCTCCCCCTGCCGCACAACCTACAAAATCAGATGATATCCTAATGCGACAGCGAGGCCACTGCGAGTACTATGCCAAATTCCATAAGATCTCCATGCGAAACCGGCAGCGATACTGCTTACAACACCCTAGAAGCTTCCCCATTTTTCAACCATGTGCTCCAAAAGAGCAGCCTGCGGAAATGACACCCACAGCAAACACTCTCTGAGCCTCCTCGCGAAGACATTGTGGCCACAACCACAAACTTCTTCACTCCCACCCCAGAGAAAACTTGTGGCCACCCACAGACATTACTTCGTCAACTAGACAGCCCATGCTGCCAAACAGGGCAAACAATTACACCACATATAAGAAACCAAACCAGCAAAACACATCCATCCACAGAGAAAGAGTAGCTCTCGCTAGTACGAGCCCGATCCTAACTGCTCAAATCTGCCAGGACAGAGAGCTAGCAAGACCGGAATGTGTGTTTTTTAAAAAAGCACCCCAAATTCTCTCTCTCATTCCCTCCAGACACAAATCACAACAAAGTTGAACAAACCATCCATAACGAAAAAAAGTACAGATAAACAGTATAATAAAAAATGCAAGGTTGGTCACGTTTGTGTGGTTCAGCGTGTGTGCATGTATGTCTGTGAGTGTGTGCATGCGTGTGTGTGTGCATGTGTGTGTGCGTCTGTGTGTGTGTGAGAGAGAGAGAGAGAGAGAAAGAGAAATTGTTGTTCTGAACAGCATTCTGAATGTACCTGGACAGCATTGTGTCCAGATACATTCTGAATATGGCCAACATAAGGGCCACATTCATTAAGAATGTTGTGTAGTGCATCCATGCTGCAATTTTTTGTTTTCATTTTTTTTTTTAACTAGTAAATCAAAGAAAAACATCCAAATAAAAATGTAGGGCGATAGTTCAGTAGTAGAGTCACACCCCCCACCCCTTACTCCCCCCGCCTTTTTTGAAGGCATTTTAAGGGTGAGAAAATTTGTCCCGCACCCCATTCGCACGTTCACGGGCCTACGTTCACAGACTCGTGAACACCTGAACACGAGCGCCAACATTCAGGCCTGCATTTTGAACCAGTGTAGGGTCTCATGGTCTGAATAAACTTTGAAATGTCATCCCCACAAGTGATGTCATCATGCTCGTAGGGCTTCATAAACAGCATACAATTCAAGTTTGTAGGTAGAGTTTGCAACTTCATATTAAGGAAGCCTCTTAGACTTCTAAGTCCATCGGTCTCTAGTCCTTTCCATTAGCCTACAGCAATACTGCCCTATCACGTACAAGCTAGCGTCTCTGGTAACCACGACCGCAAAGATGGATCCCCAACCTTCAACACCAGGCATACTAGTGACTCTCTCTTCAACTTTTTCAATGATGAAGTCTACGAAGTGGTGCTGTTATGGTGGTGAACTTGCTAACAAACTATCTATATCATTGGCCGGTCCTAAGAGTGAGTGGAAATCAGTGAGCTTCCCCCTAATGCTTGCTAACAAACTATCTATATCATTGGCCGGTCCTAAGAGTGAGTGGAAATCAGTGAGCTTTCCTCTAATGGTTGCAATCTTGATGTCATCTGGTTGTACACCATCCCCATGTATGACATCCCGAACAACAAACGCCTCTTCGCTCACTCACACTTCTTTAGGTTCACATTTGGTTTATTCTGTCTAATAAGCTTCATCAGGACTTTGTGTGTGTGCTACTCATGCTCTTCTAAAGCCTTAACACAAAGGCGTCATCTAAATCGACAACCCTAAGCCTGCCAGCCAATCTTTGAACATGTCATTCATGCAATGCTAGAAAGTGGCAGGGGTGTAGGTCAGACCACAAGGCATCAAATTAAACTCGTACTTGTCGTACCTAGTTTTGAGAGCACGCTTGTGCTGATATCCAAGGGCCACTTCGATCTAA